CATGCCCCACATTAGGCGCTGTTTGCTCCAGCCAGCAGAGCTAGTAACGTGGACAGGGAGAGGGTCTGAGGATAAAGCACTGACAGAAGACCAGTGATGGCAGAAGTCTGCGAAGTCTCCACTGCTCCCTCACCTTTCCTTATATACCCTTCCTAGCAAGTCCTAATTTAGCCAGAAAATTGGATACAGATGAGTCCAATTAGTCCAGGTGTTTTTAGCTACAAGCCCAGTTCCTGTTCCTGCCGGTCCCAAAGAGCGCCAATCAACTCAGCCCAAGCAAACAATGTTCCACATTGTGTGTAGCTCCCTGGTACACACAGAAGAAAGTGTAAATGCTCAAAGTAGGAGGTGGCGGTGTTTGGTGAGTTAAGTCTCCACTTGGGGTGCTAGCTGCCCATATCCAAGTGCCACAACAGCTGGAACTGGACTGGGCTGAACCCAGGAGGCAGGAATGGGGTCTCCTGTGTGCGAAGTGAGACTCCATTACTTAGTCCATTAGCAGGGAGCTGAGTGGGAAGCGCAGTAGCTGGGACTCAAGCCAGGCATTCTGATATGGGTTGTAGGTATCCCAAGAAATGACTTGCCGTGCTGGCCACACCTCCTGCCCCACAGACACCTCCTCCAGGACCGAATGCTGCCCTGGCTGCTTCTGCTGCTCCATCAGCCTGGCTACCTGGCTGCTTCCATTGCCCCTTCCCCTAGGCCTAACCCTCACAGCTGTCTGGAGCTTCCCTGAAGGATCTTCCCTGCCCACACCCACACTTGGCTTCCTTCATGGAGGTCTTTGCCAATCAAAAGATCAGGAAGCAGTAAGAGCCTGCAATGTGTTATTTGCTGTGTATTCCTAATACCTGGAACCACCAAATGAAGTGCTGGGAGAGAGAACAGACTCCCCGAAGCCCCCAGCAGAACAAATGCTTGAGGAAGCCTGAAGATACCTACAGGTGTATTTAAAGAAATAACAGGTTCTAGTTGGAATTTCAGGGACCGGGAACCTTCTGGTGCCTTGCTCAACTGAGTGTGCTGGTGGTTTCTCAATGTCTAATTAGGTCAATGCAGGTTTTATTATTCCCAAAGTGTCCCTGGATTCCTTGAAAACCAAAATTCATCATCTCATTACACTGAGCCTTCTGCTCCCCTTCCAGAGGCACTGCTGCCATCCCTAGTTGAGGCTTGGGGTCAGTGGGTACCAATGGTGGTTCATGGGACAGGAGGTCTGGGGGCTGGGGGTCCCAGCCTGTGAAACATTTGAGCTTTCAAAGAAATTTAGACTTTGTGGAAACCTTGTTTCTGCCAGCCAGAAGTTAACAGCTTTCGGATTCCTGAAGAGCTTCCTGGTAAGACTGCGATATTGTCATTGAATCCATCTTTTAGTTCTGTGAACAGAGAGGTCGGCGCTTAGAAGACCCATGTAACACACTGAGCCAGCGCTGGGCAGATAAGTAAGGCAGAATGCCTCGAAGTTGTGCAAAGGTCACAGAGCCACTATTCTGGGGGCAGCACAGTGGACTGGGCCACTGCTGGGGATGCCAGCACCCCATATTAGGGTTCTGGTTTGAGTCCTGGCTACTCCACTTCCAAAATAGCTTCCTGCTGATGCATCCCGGAGGCAGCAGATGATGATGGCTCCGGTGCTTGGGTTCCTGCCAGCCATGTGGGAGAGGGGAATAGAGATCCAGGCTTCTGGTTTTGGCCTGGCTCTTGTGGGCATTTGGGAAGTGGATCAGCAGATGAAAGATCCCTATCTCTCTGTCTTCCTCTTGTCTTTCCTTGAGGGTCCCAGGGTGTAAGGCTACATGTAGCAGCCCCGTCGGTAGGGGCTTGTGTGGGTGCTAGAGCACCTTGGCAATAGCACTTCCTGTGAATGCTCATGTCACTGACTTGGGGTGGTTCCCAGTCTACGTTCTAGGCAGGTGTGCAAGGTGCCTGTAGAAAGCTCCACGGTTGGGCCCAGTGTGATAGTCTAGTGGCTAAAGTCCTTACCTTGTACACACCGGGATCCCATATGGTGCCAGTTCTAATCCTGGCAGCCCCACTTCCCATCCAGCTCCCTGCTTGAGGCCTGGGAAAGCAACAGAAGATGACCCAAAAGTCTTGGAACCCCACACCCACATGGGAGACCCAAAAGAGATTCCAGGCTCCTGGCTTCAAATCGGTGCCTGTCCCTCCTCCTCTCTATCTGACTTTCCAATAAAAATAAGTCTGAAAAAAAGAAGAAAGCCCCAGAGCACAGTGGCCAAGTTTACATTTGTCCAGTCACCATATCTATCTGCAGCACACAACAGAATATAAGAAGGGTGTGACTGAGGCCCTGAGGAAGGCCAAATTCAAGTTCTCTGGACAGAAGACCCAACATAGTGTGGTTGGCGAAGGCTTTGGCTGTACACCCCTACACCTAACCTCCCAACCTCAGTGACCACCTCCAGGAAATCCTGCTTACCGGCCTATCCAAAGGAGAGAGCCACTCGCATGCAAACAGGCTGAGGAACGTCCACAGCGGGGTCCAGGTTCTTCTGCACTGTGACTGCCTTCTAGGCAAGTCCCATTTGTGTAACTTTGACGTAATCTCAACTAAGGATCACTGCTCACCCAAGCAAAGCTATTCAATCCCCCTCGCCTTGACCAGAGCCCCGGGCGGGAGAGTGGGCTATCTATACATGCTTCCTGTACCTGCTGATGGGCTGAGCACAGAAGCTGCTACAAGGGCTCAGCTATCTTTGGGTAAACCCAATATTAACTCCATGAAGAACCGCAAATCTACATCCCTTCTCTTCCTAAAGTGTTTTAATTTGGGAAGCTGTTTTCCACCAAGAGTATGTTAGTTATGTGAACATGAAGAAAGTTTATAATTGGGTTACTGAAAAATGCCATGTTGTAGAATGTTTTATTTCTCTCTCTTTTTTTTAAGATTTATTTATTTTTATTGGAAAGGCAGATATACAGAGAGGAGGAGAGACAGAGAGGAAGGTCTCCAGTCCGATGATTCACTCCCCAAGTGAGCACAATGGCTGGTGCTGTGCTGATCCAAAGCCAGGATCCAGGAACCTCCAGGTCTCCCATGTGGGTGCAGGGTCCCAAGACTTTGAGCCGTCCTTGACTGCTTCCCAGCCCACAGGCAGGGAGCTGGAGGGGAAGTGGAGCAACTGGGATTAGAACCGGCGCCCATATGGGATCCCAGTGCGTTCAAGGTGAGGACTTTAGCTGCTAGACCATGGCGCCGGGCCCTTATTTCTCATTTCAAAGAGGCCAAGTCTTAATGGCTGGATCCCATGTACACCAAAGCTCTTTGGAGTTCCCAGGAGTGTTTAGGTCTGCAAGGATTCAGAATAGAAGATGAGCTTCCTCCAGCCTGCCTCCCACTTGATTAGGTGGCTGAGGTGCTGGTACTCCTGGGGGGGGGGGGGCGGGGCAGGGCTGGCCTGGTGCAGCCTGAGAGTCAGCTGGCCAGGCCTTGCTGCTTGTTCCAGGTCTTTGGGGAAGTTGCATCCCAGTTACCAGCTCCCCCATGGGGTTTGGGTTCCAGCTGTCCATGTCCTTGGGAGACACTGCAGCTAGAAGGCCCAGGCCAGGTGGCACGGCCTTGCCCCAGGCCCCACTGCCTTCCTGAAAAGTCTGCTCTATGACCAGCAGTGGGGGGTCAAAGCAAGGCATGCATAAGGGCAAAATGGAAGGGGGCCCCCAAACTTTCACCCTCTAGATAAATATTTTCTAGAAAAAAATCATTTTGTTTCAGATCTTACTATGACTCTACCTGGTACTGTTACAATCTTGGCCTCACTTAAAAATCTGGTATTTTGTGCATTAGGAATTGCTTTTGCTTTATTTTTATTTATTTATTTATTAGGGAGACTCGCCCCTGGGAGCACGCATAGGTGAGCCTGACTCTCCCATTTGCTTGGTTACTCATGGCTCCAGGACCGAGCAGGTGGGGCCTGCGAGAACCCTCCCAGCAGCTCAGACCATGTTGTGAGAAATTCCAAAACAGCCTGGTGATGTGTGCCCATCTAAGAGGGCACTCCTGGGCACAGGGCTGCACTGGGCAGAGCCTGGCAGGGCTAAGAGATGCATCAGGGTCTGTGGGCAAAGGAGGCACTGGGTCTGGCTGCCACTCAAAGCTGAAGGGGAGTGGAGAAAGAAAGGATTAAAAAAGCAAGCCACATCCACTCAAAAGGTTCTGGAAAGACAGGAGTGTGATAAGCATATCAGATGCCTTTTGGGATGCTTATTCCCCAGCCCCCTGTGTCAGAATGCCTGGATTCAAGTCCTGTTTTCACTCCCAGTTCCAGCCTCCCGTTAATCCACAACTTCCGCCTGGGAGGCTGGGAAGAGTTCCAGGCCTGGCCCCATCCCAGCTGTTTCAGACAATTGGGGTGTGAACCAGTGGATGGAAGATCTCTCTCTCTGTCTCTCTTGAATAAATGCCACGTGTGGAGAACTTAACCTACTAACCACAGTGCTGACCCCCAGGGTGGAATTTTTAAAGTTAAGTAATTAATTTCAGAGGCAGAGAGACAAATTGATGCCTGCCTGTTCACTCTTCCAGTGCCCACACTGACAAGGTCTTGGCTATGCTGAAGCTGAGTGTCAGGGAACACTCCTTGCCCCATCTCCCCATGAATGGCAGAGACATGAATACTTGAGCCATCCCCTGGCACCTCTCAGGGTGTGTATTTGTGTGCACCTAGACTTGGAAATGGGCTGCAGCTCACTGCGAGGCCTGGTGCCTGGGATTTGGTGTCTTGAGCATTGTGGCCTCACCTAGCAGAGGGACAGAGAGGCAAAAGGAGTGAAGGAATATTCTCCTGAGCGTTGAGCCCTGATGTGAAAGCACGGATCTCTGTCCTCCAGCCCTCTTAGCACGGCTGCCCAGAGGACTACGTGTCAGCCAGGATTTTAGAGGAGACATCATCATTCCCTCCCCGGCAGGGAGTTGGGATTGACAGACCAGGACAGTTCCTTCCTGCCTCTGTATTAACTAGAATCCTTGGATGGTCTTGTAGGCACAGCCAGGACCAGATGAGCAGCTTCCCCTACTGGTCCTGAGAGATGGAGACACTGAATTCCTCCCGTGTGGACTCAGAGTTCCGGTACACCCTCTTTCCGATTGTTTACAGCATCATCTTCATGCTGGGCGTTGTTGCCAATGGCTATGTTCTGTGGGTTTTTGCCAACCTGTATCCTTCCAAGAAACTCAACGAGATCAAGATTTTTATGGTGAACCTCACCGTGGCAGATCTGCTCTTCCTGATCACACTGCCGCTGTGGATCATCTACTACTACAACCAGGGCAACTGGGTCCTGCCCAAATTCCTGTGCAATGTGGCTGGCTGTCTCTTCTTCATCAACACCTATTGCTCTGTGGCTTTCCTGGGCGTCATCACGTACAACCGCTTCCAGGCGGTGACGCAGCCCATCCAGACTGCTCAGGCCAGCACCCGCAAGCGAGGTATCTCCTTGTCCCTCATCATCTGGGTGGTCATTCTGGCCATCGCATCCTATTTCCTCATCATGGACTCCACCAATGTGGTGACTAACAGGGACGGCTCCAGCAACGTCACCCGCTGCTTTGAGCACTACGAGAAGGGTAGCATACCGGTCCTCGTCATCCACATCTTCATTGTGTTCTGCTTCTTCGTCGTCTTCCTCATCATCCTTGTGTGCAACCTGATCATCATCCACACGCTGCTCACGCAGCAGGTGCAGCAGCCCCGCAAAGCAGAAGTCAAGCGCCGGGCGCTGTGGATGGTCTGCACGGTCTTGGGTGTCTTCATCATCTGCTTCGTGCCCCACCACATGGTGCAGTTGCCCTGGACCCTGGCTGAGCTGGGATTCCGAGGCATGGATTTCCACCAGGCTATTAACGATGCACACCAGGTCACCCTCTGCCTCCTCAGCACCAACTGTGTCCTGGACCCTATCATCTACTGCTTCCTCACCAAGAAGTTCCGCAAGCACCTCACCGAGAAGCTCTACAGCATGCGAAGCAGCCGTAAGTGCTCTCGGGCCACCACTGACACTGCCACCGACATCAGCCTGCCGCTCAACCACATGCCTGCTGGCTGCCTTAAGAACTGATGCCTACTGGTTAGAGGGCTCCAGGGGCTTCTCCACACATATGGTGGGCAGGCCGACCTGGGAGAAGGGATGTCTGGGCACCTCCATCTTGGGCACGTGTGTGGCCCATTAGGTACGGAGGCTGTAGCACCCACATGGGGATGCTAATCAGGACTGCAGTGCACCGCGTCATCCACCTCTGAGCATGTCCTATGACAACTGTGGCTGATGACTTCCTCCTGACCCAGGGGGATCTGATGGGGAGAAGTTCAGGGTCAGGTGTAGACTCTGGGGGCAGATTTCAAGTTCGCCGCAAAGATACAATAATCTAAAGCTCTGGACAGTGCTCCCAAGTGCTAAAGGCAGTGGGGTAAAGGGTTGGGAAAGGAACTGTTCCTGACTGTGTAGCAGTGTCACAGGACAAACTCCAAACTGGGGTGGTCCCACCCTTCCTCCAGCCAGGGGTACAAAGTCTTTGTGACACTGTCCAGGGGAAGTGGCTCCTTGGAGCCTTCTCCTGACTCAGTTAGCAAGCCTGTCCTGGATGGTGACCTCAAGAAGACACAATGCCAAGGAGTCAACAGCAAGGACACGGACCTGCTTCCTGAGCCACATGTATGGGTCAGCTCTGGACAGGTAGCAGAGGAAGCACCACCTCCTCCGTTTTTGTATCTCAGAGTAGCAGGTGGCCATAGGCCCCTCAAGGAATAATTGGAGGCTTCCGGCCAGGGCACTTTAGTATCCAGAAACTTCCATGAGAATAAGTCCTTGAACTGGATACTGCCTGAACCCTTGCCCACTTTGCTTTCTAGAAAGCCGCTTCCATTGCCCCCCTGTGCCCAGCCTGATTTTACAAGGTGGAAAGCTCATACAGTCCCAAGTACTGGCAGCTGTTAGCTTCTCTGAAGAATCTCTGGATGTTTACTTAGGATTTGTGCAAATATACTCAAATAGCCTCCTCTCCCACCCTGGGACCACTCCCACCATGGGACCATTCCTTCTCTGGGACTACTCCCAGCCTAGGACTATTCTTACTCTGGGTACATACCTACCCTCGGACCACTCCAAGCTGAGATCTTGCCCACCCTGTGTCCACACTCACCATGAGACTTATAGCTGAGACTTGTAGCTGAGACTTAGGGGCTGGGTGAAGCGGCCCTGGTTCCCAGAGCCCTGTTCTCTTTCCAAACAGCCAGAGTCCCTGTGTTTCCTGGCCCTGTTGATGACTGCCCCTAAGCTGGCCAGCAGCTTCCTAGGATCTTGGATGGTGTCTGTGAGCTGGACTCAGCTGAGGGTTACCAGGTAACTGATGTGCCACACAGACCCAAGTTCAAGTCTTACCTGTGTTGTTTCCTGCTGAAGGACAGGGGAGCTGAATATCCTACATTCCAGGGCAGCTACAGGGGAGGAAAAGCCCGTATAAGCAGTGTGTACTGAGATGGATACCTCCTGGACCAGGGCCTGCATAGCCCAGGAGCTCCCCCTTTCCAGAATATTCAGTTCTCTCTGTCCCCACTCCAGGCTCAGGGATGCTGTTACAGGCTCTACTGACCACGGACCTGAAGATGCAGAAACTCTGGGCTGAGGAGGTGTGTGTTGTGTATGTGTGTGTGTGTGTGTGTGGTGTGTGGTGGGGGAAGTATCTACAGGAACAGGGCGTGGCTGTACAAGAGGAGCCGTACGTACCCCATGAGGTGGAGACCAGCGGAGCTAAGGCAATGGGAGAGAAGCAGGTTGGACATCTCCAGGCCTCTCATCTGCAGGTCCAGCTCTGCTCAGCTCTGCTCCTCACGCTGGGTCCTGCAGGTTCCCCCAGCTGGGATGCCTGGTGGCATTTGCTGTAGCTGCTTTGAGTAGGCGACTGTGACTTGCAGCCAGAAGCTGCAGATGGCATCACCCTTTTACCCCAACTCATGATGGTTCCTGAATTCCAGTCTTTCTTATGTCCCTTGGCATTTTCTTCTTTTTTTTCTTCCCTACTCCTTTCTTTTTGTTATCTACCTACTCCCTGGATTTTTTTACTTAGTATTTTTCTTTAAATGGAGTCACTTTTTAAAGCTTACTACTGGTCGGATAGGATGATGTTAATGTGAATGTCAGCTAACGGCACCTGTCAGCAGAAGGTAAAGTGAGCCACAGAACCAGATGAGCAGAATGGTCACCTCAAGGCTGCCTGGCTTGCCTCAGTAACTTGTGTGCTTGGGAAACTTCCTGTGTGTGTGTGGAGTGTCTGGGGCCTGCCTGCAGGAAGTGCTCAATAAAGACAAGCTGAGTGTTCTGAAATGGTAATTTGTGACTTCCCTGGTGCCTTCTATTCAGACATGCCACCTGGCCAGGCCAGGTCCACCCTCCTTTCCTCCCTTCTTCCCTCCCTTCCAGGACTGAGGGTATCTCCAGGGGTATGTTAGGTGACAGCCTTGGCTTTGCCTGAAGACCAATGCGCATCTCCCAGCACAGTCCCTGGCCCGCCCTCTGGGACCTGACGCCTAATTACTGTGATGATCGAGGTCCACCCACGTTCGTGTCCATATTCTCTATGGATTCAGTTTCTTATACACAGCCTGGAGTGAGATTTGCTTCTTTCCAGGGTATACACTTCCCCAAAGTGCATCGTAAGCAGTCACATTGACATATGAACATGGAGTGTTTATATATATACATATACATATATATATATGAACTTCAGAGAGTAGGGCAGGGACAGAAGGAGAAAAATCAATCCTCCCTCTGGTTTACTCCCCAAATGGCCACAACGCCTGGGGTTGGATCAGACAGAAGCCAGGAACCTGGAACTCCATCACGACCTCCCATATGGGTCACAGAGACTCAACTACTTCTGCTGCATTCCCAGGCACACTAGCAGGAAGCTGGATTGGAAGTGAAGCAGCTGGGATTTGAACCAGCCCTCCAATACGGGATGCCGGTGTTGCAAGCATGGCTTAACCCACTGTACCACAACTCTTGCCCTATGCAGTTGTTTCTAAAGAGTTTAAGAAGGTTGTGTAGGGACCGATGGGAAAGATGTTTCTATGTGTTCTTCCAGAGTTAGGTGTCCCTATTTTAAAGGGATGTCTGGGATTAGCACATTTTGGAGCTGGTAGGAGTCCAGTACCTTCCGCTTCCTGGGAAAACGCAGGGCTCCGAGGAGCTGTGGGCTGGGATGGCAGAAGATGAACTACGGCTCTCTGTGGATACAGCGAACAGGGTCAGAGACTGTGGGGAAAGCTGAGCTGCAATTCCGCTACTGCAGCATCACCAATTGCATTCTTTTTTTTTTTTAAGATTTATTTTTATTATGCTTTTATTGGAAAGGCGGAAATACAGAGAGGAGAGACAGAGAGGAAGATCTTCCGTCCGATGATTCACTCCCCAAGTGAGCGCAACGGCCGATGCTATGCCGATCCGAAGCCAGGAGACTCTTCCGGGTCTCCCGCACGTGCGGGTGCAGGGTCCCAAAGCTTTGGGCCATCCTCAACTGCTTTCCCAGGCCACAAGCAGGGAGCTGGATGGGAAGCGGAGCCGCCGGGATTAGAACCGGCGCCCATATGGGATCCCGGGTGTGCAGGGCGAGGACCTTAACCACTTGTGCCATTGCGCCGGGCCCACCAATTGCATTCTATGAAGCCTCACCTGGCTGCAGCCTTTGTGCCAGGGAGCTGGTTCTGACTTAATTTGGAGAACTTTGGCTCAGGCTGAACCCTGGACCCTGAACGGTAAGTGTGGACCCCAGCTGACCACAGCTAGGCATGTTCCTGCCTATTTTTACTCACTTGTTTATACCTGTGCTCAAGACCTGAGGCCATGGAGAAATAAACATTGGAAAGCACCTGGTGTCTGGACAGACTTGTATTTCTGTGGCACAAATCCTGTTCTTGACATCCTGCCACCAAGCCACCTTCCAATCCATCTATCCATCCATCCATCCATCCATCCATCTACCACAAATGGCCATGGAGTGCCTATTGTAGGATGTTTGACACAGAAAACATGGCAGCAACCTCATTTCTTGTCTCACACGAAAGAATTTTCATGTGGACAAACTCCAGTTTTAAAGCAAGGTTTATTTGAAGAAAAGAGGTAAGTGACTCCTGCCCTAGCGGCAGGAAGGGGCTCCAAGCTAGGAAAGACCAGTGTGAGCAAGTGAGGCTAGTGCCTTCTAAACCCCATTTCAAAGGAATTTCTGCAAAGACAAAGGAAAAATATGCTCTCAATGGCACCTGACTGAGACAAAAAGCCTCAGAAACGTGTGCCCGGTGCAGTAGCCTAGCGGCTAAAGTTCTTGCCTTGCATGCGCCAGGGTCCTTTACGAATACTGGTTTTAATCTCGGTGGTCCCACTTCCCATCCAGCTCCCTGACTGTGGCCTGGGAAAGCAGTTGAGGTTGGCTAATGGCCTTGGGACCCTGCACCCGCGTGGGAGTCCCAGAGGAGGCTCTGAGCTTTTGGCTTCGGATCAGCACAGCTCTGGCCATTGCAGCTGCCTGGGGAATGAATCGATGGTTGGAAGATCTTCCTTTTTGTCTCTCCTCCTCTCTGTATATCTGACTTTCTAATAAAAATGAATCTTAAAAAAGATGTTTTAAAAACAAAAAAAGGGCTTGGCACCAAAGCAGCCTGGCAAAGGTTAGGGCTGGGTTTACCCACTGGATCATTCTCCACAGAGCCTCAGTTTCCACTCCAACCCAGTTCCTTGCTGCCTCTTCCCCATTCTCACCAAGTTCAGGTTGAGTAACCCTGTATTTTCCTTGGCAGTGTAAAATTGAGGAAGAGCCTGACATGTCAGACTACCCTCAAATACACTCAGAATGTCTAAGAAGTCACAGTCGCTACACACGTGACTCATCAGTTCCTTGCAAGGGAACAGTGTGACCAAGTGGGCCTTGCGGGTGCCTGGCTTGGGTTGTCCAGTCAAGCTTCCTGCTAGTGTCAATCCTGGGAGGCGGTAATGACAGCTCAAGTGCTTGGGTTCTGAATACCCAAAAGGGGGACCTGGCTTAAGTTCCTGGACCGAGTCCCAGCTTTGGCCTGGCCCAATCGTGGCCGTTGTGCACATTCGGAGAGTGGGCTAAGAGATGGGAATCTCTCTCTGTTTCTGCTTCTCAAACAGGTAAAGACATGTTAACAGAAAGGTGGATGCCTTTCCAGGGACACCGCTAACAGAGTGACAAGGCACCCGTGACTTGGGGGAAAATACTTATAAACGTGATTTGTCCCTCAAAACTCATGCGGAAGTTGCATTCCCACGGTGAGGTGTTGAAGGGGTGGAACGTTAATCCGCACTGTGGAGTTGGTTAATCCGCACTTGTGAGGTGATGAGGCTTAGACAAGGTGGTTAGGGTGGAGCTCTCTCTCCACCCTTTTCCTAACCCTGGGGCACCTGTGGCTTTCCAAGAAGAGCAGAGACCTGTAGATGCCTCCCCACGTGGTCACCCTGTCTGTCGCAAGGAGACTGTCATCATGTGTGGCCTTGAACCTCCAGAAACAGCCCAAGTCCATCTCTTTTCTCAGGAACTTCCCCAGGGTCGTTTGTAAGTAGCAGAACAAGAAGGAATACAGCCAGAATACACAAAAAGAACTGCAAGGGCGGGAGAGCCCGGGCAGAGAGGGGCTCATTGCCTGAGTGCACATGGGGGAGCAGGTGGCAGGACTCTCTCATCCACTGGAGTTTATGTAGTTAAGGCTGCTGAGTGGGAGGGCGTTGCATGGGGCTAGACTTTTCCAGCTGGCCAGGGTGAGGCAGGGTTGAACTGGTTTAGAGGGGAAAGGGATGAGGTTGGGGAGCACCTGGTGGGGAGGGGGTAAGATCTACTCTAGGTTGGGTGGGCAAGCAACTGAAAAGCAGCCAGGAGGTTTAGCTCCACTTTTCATTCTTTCTCCATCAAGAATTCTTTCAATTCAACAGCAAGCAAACAGCCTGACTTAAAAAATGAACAAAGGGTGCTGGTGTGGTGGCATAGTGGGTAAAGCTGCCAGATGTGACAGTGGCATCCCATTTGCTTGCCCACTCGAGTTCCAGCTACTCCATTTCTGATCCAGGCCCCTGGGAGTGCACCTGGGAAAGCAGTAGAGGGTGCTCCCAGTGCTTGGGTCCCTGCACCCATGGGTCCCTGCACCCACACGGAAGATTCAGAAGAGGCTTCGACAGCTTCTGCCTGCCTAGATTGCAGTTGGGACCATCTGGGGAGTGAACCAGATGGATGAAAGATCTCTCCCTCTCTCTGTGTATAACTTTGCCTTTTGAACAGATAGATAAATAAATTTTTAAAATTTTATAATGAACGAATGAATAAAATATACTCAACATCACTAGCCATTAGGGAAAAGCAAATCAAAACCACATGAGTTCAAAACAGAAAACAGCAAGTGCTGGCGAGGATGCGGAGACCACGGAACTCTTTTGCTTTTCTAGGAAGAACGGAAAGTAGATCAGCTGCTATGGAAACCAGTATGGCAATTCCCCTGAAAACTAAACTTAGCATCACCAGATGGCCTGGGAATTCCATCTCTGGTTATAGTCCCAGATAATTTAAATGAGGGACTCAGATATTAAACACAAACATTCACAAACATCACTCACAACAGCTTTTATAAGCAATCTAGTTGCCCATTGAGGAATGAATGTATAAACAAAGGAAAATTACTCCCTTAAAAAGGAGGGAAGGGGAGACAGACTAGGGAGAGAGACATTCCATCTGCGGGTCCACTGCCCTGTGGCTGCAGCCATCAAAGCTGGGCCAAGCTGAAGCCAGAAAGAGCTGGGAACTCTACTGTGGCATATGGATGGCAGGGACACAAGCCCTTGGGCTATCATCCGCTGTTTCCCCCAGCGCATTAGCAGGAAACTGGACTGGAAGCAGAGCAGCCATGACTTAAAGTGGTGTTGCAATGAGGGATGCTGACACCAGCACAAGCAGCTCAATCGGCTGTGCCCATGACAGCAGTCCGGGGAAATTATAACACATGCCATAAACAGATATACTTGAAGACACCATGCCAAGTGATGCAAGGCAGATATCAGAGGGTACATCTGGCATAACTCCACTTCCAAGAGCTTCACAGAATGGTCCACTTCATGGAGGCGGCAAGTAGAACAAGGGTTTCCATGGCTGGAGCAGAGAACGGGCTTGAGTCTAGGTCTGTAGTCAGGGTCGGGGCCCAGGGATGGGGGGGTGGCAGTTGCACAGCAGGAAAGTGCAACTTCAGTGTGCAGTGAGGACACTGGTGGTCAGTTTCATGTCATTGCTTAAAAACAAAACCTGCAAAAGAGGGGAGGATGGGATAGGGAAAAGC